ACCCTTGAGCCACAATGTGAACTCTTAGGGTCTGCACTAAGTTTTTTGGGTTAGGGTTAGGGTTAGGGTTAGGGTTAGGGCAGAGGGCACTCAAAATAGCAAAAAACTAACAAGGGACCCCCTTGATTTGGATAGGGCAACTGGCCATACATAGGGGGGTTGCAGACTGCCAGAAATAGTGCAAATTGAGTCCACTTTTAGGGTTAGGGTTAGGGTTAGGGAATCATGGGAACTGTAGTTTATTGTGGCACCAGAGCTCTCTGACAGAGAAGGCTCAATGTCTCAGGGAAAAAAAAAAAACAATTCCCATGATTCCCTAGCATAACCCTAACCCTAAAAGTGGACTCAATTTGTACTATTTCTGGCAGTCTGCAACCCCCTATAGACTTCCTGCTGAGAAAGGTTTTAAAAAGAGATTTAGCAGTCCAGTCCTTCAGTAGAATCAAGAGAAGGTTCTGTAACATCTGGATTGGACCTTGAAAATATCATTATAAATGTGTGTGTGTATTAAAGGAGAAGGAATTGAGGGTCACCCCAGCAAGCCCATGGTGTGGGAAGAAGTTGGCAGTAGGTGCCATTGCCAGCTGCTGAACTCACTCTTCTGGGCTCTCCAGGTGTAGGCTAATCTCAGAGGGCATGCTGTACTTGATGGCTGGCTGCTTTTTGGAGGCTGTGTGCTTTGCAAATGTTGCCCTTCGTCATTGTTTTCATATCTGTAGGCATAGCAGGAGCATGGCAGCAGGTGGGGCCCCCGATGGAGCCCCCCCAGACTTGGGTCGCTATGTGGTGGCCAGGCCAATCTACAATGAAGTGAACTTCCAGGAGGAGAATGAGAGGAAACTGGTGGTGCCCAAAACACTCCGGGAAAGAGTCCAGAAATCTTGCAGGTGAATGGCTGGCAGGCAACACCTTTCTGGTGAGAAGGGAAAGTCTCGTCCACAATGGAAAGAATCCTGCATCCAATGGAGGTGGGCCAGAGTAGGGGAACAGGAGCATTTCACGGTGTAACGCTAGCAATTTAACATTTTGTCCTTTGGCAGCTGTTCAAGAAAGAAAGCCATTCAGATAACCAAGACCTTATTTCCAATTCTGGAGTGGCTGCCCAAGTACAGGGTCAAAGAATGGCTCCTCAGCGATGTAATATCTGGGGTCAGTACTGGACTTGTGGCTACTTTACAAGGTAAGTGAGATCCCAATATAGTTTGTTTTTTAAATCCTACTGATCTAGTTTTACAGAGGAAATAAACAAGACTGTACCGTGGCTGTATAAACTATGTTTTACAGTTATGGGTCACAGTTATGTTTTACAGTAATGGGTCATTGCCACAATTATGGGTCATCGCAAACCAATACACCATGCTGGCTCTTGCTGCCCATATTTAAACAATGCATAATTTTTCACCAGCACACTTCAGAAAGGTAAACTGTTTTTTACATGGGCAGAAATATGAAAGAGTCTTGTGGTGCAAGTTTTATTCAAGGTATGTTTTTATGAACACCAGCCTCACTTTGTCAGGTGCAAAAACTGCAGCCCATTCATCATACATCTGATGAAGTGAGCTGAGGTATACAAAAGGTTGTGCCAAATAAACGTGTCAGTTTTTAAAGTGCCCCAAGAATTTTTGTCGATTTCATTTCAACAGACTAACATGGTTACTTGGCAACTACTTGGGCATTTCTCTAGCCTTTAAATATTGGTCAGCTTTGTTGTTATTGTGTGCTTTCAAGCTGTGTCTGACTTATGGCAATGCTAAGACAAATCACAGGGTTTTCTTGGCAAGATTTGTTCAGAGGGGGATGCCACTGCCTTCCTCTGAGGCTGAGAGTGTGTGACTTGCCCAAGGCTTATCCAATTAGTTTCTATGGCCAAGTGAAGATTTGAACCTTGGTCTTCCACATTCCTAAACAACTCTTAAACCAATACACCATACTGGGTCTTACTGCCTATATTTAATTACTTGACTAATTTATTTTCATACTGGCATTCCTAAAGATGTTAGGATGGGGACTCACTTCTGATTATAAATTAATCAAATCAGGCTGGTAATCTGACTGTTCAGATTTCTATATTCAAAAAAACGTCAGATGTGAAATACAAATGTGGATTATCCCTGTGTAGAAAGCAAAATGTACTTTTCATAATTAATTACAGCTGAATGTCAACTTTTATAAAGTCATTATGAGATGAATTAATATTTTGATTTTGTACATTTTAGGCTTGGCATATGCATTACTCGTTGGCGTTCCAATTGGTTATGGCCTTTACTCTGCTTTTTTCCCTATCTTGACATATTTCTTCCTGGGAACATCCCGACACATCTCAGTTGGTAATTGTGTACTTTCTATTTTAACTAATATTTAGCTCTTTCTTCTAGAATGATTATTTTTTGAGATAGTTATTTCTGGGGACCCAGACTGCTCGATTGGGCTTTTATGTTGTTGTATTCTTGTTGTGTCTGTACTCTATGCAAGTCCCCTGTTTGCCTATATTTTTTCCACAGAGAATGTCTAGAAATAGCCTGCATCCATAGACATATCTATATTTGACCAGTTCTTTTGCTAGTGCTAGATGCTAAGAGCACTTACACAGTATCTGGTCCACCGCCACTCAGCCCAACAACAATAGGATGCTACTATCTTTGAGTAACAACTGTAACATATTACCTGCATGACCAGATTTACAGGCAGCTGGGAAAAGAGTACAATCATTATAATAATGCAGAAACTCTAGAGAACACTAGAGATGGCAAGATGGAATTTTATCAGTTTATCCTATGGAGCTGTGATGTTTAACTCATAAGATGCTTTTTATAAAGTTATTTTATTATTAGCCATTTTAAGTAAACTGGATTGAATCTAGATTTTGTATCCAGGCAGACTTCCTTGCCCCCTCCTTTCCCTGACAGCCCCTCTAGCACATATCCATACACTATATATTATAGAGAGTAAGGACAATTCTACTGTGATGTGGAAGAAAGAGATCCCCCAACTCCCAAATCATTCCTTCCTAGAGTAGAAGCCTCACTCAGGGCCTTTACAGACTGCCAGAAATAGTGCAGCTTGAGGCCACTTTAACTGTCCTGGCTCAGTGCTAAGCAATAATGGGAGCTGTAGTTCATTGTGGCACCAGAGCTCTCTGACAGAGAAGGCTCAATGTCTCTGAAAAAACTACAGTTCCCATGATTCCTTAGCACTGAGCCAGGACAGTTAAAGTGGCCTCAAGCTGTACTATTTCTGGCAGTCTGGCAGGCCCTCACTGAAGGTTCCTCTGTCTGATCTGGTAGCATCTCATCCCTTCCTATTCAACCCTCTTTATGTCTGACACATTCAATAGCACCCTCTGTGCAGTAATTTAATAGGGCTGGATGGGATTCACAGATGGGACAGCATGGGTAAATCTGCTTCCTCCAGTCCGGCTGCATGCATCTAAATCTAGATTCAACTCACAGTAGTGTGTGCATTTTAAATGTATACACACATATATCTATATAAAATTCCTCTCAACAGGGCCTTTTCCTGTGGTCAGCTTAATGGTGGGCTCGGTAGTACTAAGCATGGCACCAGATGAAAATTTCCGTGTGGTTAGCAGCAACCTGACAGGACTGAACAAAACATTTATAGACACTGAATCCAGAGATGCGCAGAGAGTACTGATTTCAAGTACTGTCACTTTCTTGGTGGGCATAATCCAGGTAATGCAACTGATTAAAACTGTCTTAAAATACTGTTGTTTTTCTAATTTGCTATATAACAGAAAACCATAACCCAGTGTGTGGGGGGGGGGGGGAACGACAGCATCATAGCAATCCATGTAATGCTCAGCTAATACTTAAAGTATAAATTAGAATTAATGTTGCTTCATTTATGTTCACAATGTTGCATAGTTCAATAATTCCACTTATATATTATTTTACGTTTGGAAAATATTATGTTTTGAGGACAAAACCTCCTAGTATCCACCTTGACTTGGACAGAACTAGTCCTACAGTTCAGTCCAGTTAAGCTCATTCTGGTCCATACTTGTTGGATGCGCTTCAGTTGTTGAAGACTAAGGGTACGGACAGGGTATTTGGAAAGAAGTTGCCTACCATCTCTTTGCTTGCCCCCTTGGTTTATTTTATTTATTAGATTTATATCCCATATTTCATCCCCAAATATTATCGGTTAATAACATACAGCAAGACATATGTCCAGAGCATGGTGAGTTTTGTTTTATGAGAGGGCACCAAGCCTGACCACTTTAGGCCTAAGCAGACTGCCAGAAATAGTGCACATTAAATTGAGGCACTGCCCTGGCTCAGTGCTAAGGAATCATGGGAACTGTATTTTTTTTCTGGGACATTGAGCCTTCTCTGTCAGAGAGCTCTGGTGCCACAATAAATTACAGTTCCCATGATTCCCTAGTACTGAGCCAGGGCAGTGCCTCAATTTAACGTGCACTATTTCTGACAGTCTGCTTAGGCCCATCATCAGCTAATGGTTGTAATAGTGTTTATAGTCTGCCAAGGATAGTAATAGATATTGACTGGTCACCACTATTCCCTTCTGGACCAAGGCTTTCAGCTCCAGGCAATTCTAAAGGATGCTGATTATAAGGATCAATTTCCATATGTTTTCAGGCATGTTGGATTGCTTATGTTAGGGTAGTGACTGTATAGTTTTCTAATTATCCTGGATTATGGTTGATGGCAGCCTTCAGTGCCTTCAATCATAATATCCTTTCAGATGGGTTCTCTGGGCTGAGAGTGGGAGGCATTGTGTTTCAATGGCTGATTCTAGAAGATAGTGCATGGTGGTTTCCATTCAATCCTAGGCACAAGTGCATGGTGGCTTCCATTCAGTCCTAGGCTCAAAGTCTCCATCATGCCTCCAACTTTTAAAATCTACATGGAAAGGATCAGAGTGTCTCTAAGAGCCCCAGTGTGACCCTCCAGCACACACATGTCCCTTGAAACTCCAATTATAAAAATCTGACTTTATCCCTTCCAGGATTGCCAGGAGCCAATGTGGTGCAGTGGGTTTGAGCTTTGGACTATGACTCTGGAGATCAGGGTTTGAATCCCAGCTCTGCCATGGAAACCAACTAAGTGACCTTGGGCAAATCACACTGTCTCAGCCTCAGAAGAAAGGAAAGGCAACCCTCTCTGAAAAATTCTTACCAAGAAAATCCCCTGATAGATTTGCCTTATGGTCACCATAAATTGGAAATGACTTGAAGGTACACAAGAACAACAACAGGGTTGCAGGGGACAATTTCACCACATTTCCCTTGCAGCTTTAAAGACCTCTCCCCACTAAACAGAATTAATTTCTGGTCATTTGCAGTTGTTGTTTTGTGTCTTGAAGTAATTTTCCAACTTATGGCAACCCTAAGGCGAACCTATCATGGGCTTTTCATGGCAAGTTTCTTTAGAGGGGGTTTGCCATTACCATTGCCGTCCTCTGAGACTGAGAGAGTGTGACTTGCCTACACACATACACTTCTTTAGGGGCTGGATAAGACACACACTGGTAAAATTTAAGTTGGTCCTGAGAGGCAAACAGAATGCCAGGGAAAAAAGACAATATTATCTGACATCACTATGTGGTAAAAGGTCTCAGTCTTGAATTATTAAAAAAGTGTGCTTCAATAATTGTTCAAGAGATCACCTGGTGTATTCTTTTTTTTTTTCCCCAGCTGGTGTTTGGGGTATTCCAGATTGGCTTCATTGTGCGATATCTCGCTGATCCGCTGGTTGGAGGTTTTACAACTGCAGCTGCTTTTCAAGTGTTCGTTTCACAACTGAAAATAGTCTTAAATGTTCCCACTGCAAATTACAATGGGGTTCTTTCGATAATATATGTAAGTATGCTGCCCTAAACTGAATATTGTTATCTGATATTTTATTCATTTAGCTTTCATCCTCCCAGCTAATTCAACAATTTCATATAGAAAAAGATCTATATAGGAGATTATAGGAAGGAAAGGTGGGACTACAGTCTAGCTTCCTATCTTTTGTACTCTATGCAGTGCATAAAATCATATTGAGATGAAGAAAATCTAGAATAGATGCTAATTATTCTCTCACTAACTACATACATTTAAAATATAAAGCGTAGCCTAATCCATCCTGTAATTTACAGCAGTTGGAGAACATACAGCCTTCATGTAGCTGATTAGCTACTGTCAACCTTAATGCTGCTGATCCATTGGGAAACAGAGGGGCCATGAAACAGATTATTGATCCACTAATGTTTAATGTGTCGATAAATTGTTTAGAGACCTATTAGAAAACTTCATCACACTCCACTGCTAACAGGGTCAGGGGGTAAGGGACTGTAGGTGGGCAAGAAAACCTAACCTCAATCAGTCCTTATTTGTGTATCTTAATATATAGGACCAAGTTTCCAAGGTCTAATCTACACTGTAGAAATGATGCAGTTTGTCATCACTTTAACTGCCATGTCTCCGTGCTATGGAATTCTGGGAGTTTTGTGAAATATTTGGCCTTCTCTGTCAGAGAGCTCTGATGCCACCACAAACTACATATCCCAGGATTCCATAGCACCATGCCATGGCAGTTAAAGCAGTCTCAAACCATTATTTCCGCAGTGCAGATTAGACCTGAGTCAAATCCACCCTAGTCAGTGAACAAAATAAGTTATATTATACACAGCACTTTTATAATAAAACATAATGATGACAACAGCAATACTACTTTTAAAACAAAACAAAAGCCCTACATGAAAATACCTCCTTTGTATTTAAAAGATATAAACTGGAATCCTCAATGGCAGGTATGCACCCATGAATGTGTATCATTTTATATATCTTTGGAACCTGCGAGAAAAGGTTGCAGCGTGGAGTGCTCCTTTTCAGTCTTCCAGCCAACCAATCATGGCCTTTTTTTCGGGATACTCCATTCAGGGTGACCAGATGTTCTAACCTCAAAAGAGGACAAGGCACTTCAAAATGTAGGACATTCAAGAAAAATGTAGGACATGACCAAATAAAAGCTACAAACACTCATAGAAATATAAATCCATACTTTTTAGGCACGCTCAAAATGGATGACATTTTGGAATTCCTCCTGGACAGAAAGTGGAAATGTAGGATACATCCTGGAAAAGGAGGACATCTGGTCCATTCCATTTGTCACTCAACCAACCAATTATCAGTCAGCAGTCTGTGGCCACTGAGCTGTCTTCATTGGACTATTGGTTGAACCACCCCCATGGGTTTCCCCTAAATAGTTTCCTACTTCTGTAAGCCTTAGGGTTCCCCTAAACATTCTCATAATTAACTATTGACAATAACCCCATTTTGTCTATAAAGTCATGATAACTTGAGTTCACTATTAGAAGAAGAAGAAGAACAATACTGCAGTGAAATGTTCCTATTTCAGGCAGGCAGCTGTGCCCCTTACAAGATATCCCATTCCATTTCCTCTCCTTTATGTTACATTTCCATTTTCCCAATAATCAGCTAGCTTTCTGTGTCTACAGAGCATTGTCAATCTTCACTGAAGTGTTTGGGGATTCTCTGCCTAATAGACATCGTCCCTTAAAAATATTGTGCTTACAAATCTTGGAATTTCTCAAATCCTCTTTTGTGTGTGAAGGTTTTTTTTTTGGAATTCATAGTTGCAAAATTATTTATATGTTAAGGGTCTGAACATTGAAAAGTAACCATTTGCTTTCAAAATAAGGCCAAAACCCTTCCAAGTGCGCATACAGTAAATGTCTAAAAAGAATTTGTGATTCATTGCAGGCACACGAATCAAACATTTGTGTTTGTGCGTTTTTAGAATTACAGTATATAGATAACAATGTAAGGCTCTCATTTTCATTTTGAATTTAATAACTCAAATGTTCATTTATGTGAATGTAAATGACAGCACAGGACTCATCAATAGGACTCACTTTCAAGTTATGTGTAGATAATAGCTGAGGGAATCAGAGAGTTAATGCCTCAAAAATCTAGTTTCTTAACAGCACAGAAAATTCACTCATACATCTCTGGCTTCTGTTTAAAAACTGGTAACGAAAGAGAATTCTGTCCTCTCTGAGATAGTCTATTCCAATGCCAAACAGTACTAGCAGGAAACTTTTCCTAGGGATGAAAAGAATATTGAAAAGTATTTTTAATGGTAAAAA